GCCTGATTTCAACGCCGGGGAAATACATAAAGCAAATTTGCCTGTGAACGCTTTATATAAATACAATATAGGTCTAAATCCATGTGATCACTTTTATCAATGTTATATATATCCTTATATCGCCAGCCCTAAAACTGTGTTTCTGCCCCTCAGTGTTTCTACCCCTCAGTGTTTCTGCCCCTCAGTGTTTCTGCCCCTCAGTGTTTCTGCCACTCAGTGTTTCTGCCACTTAGTGTTTCTGCCCCTCAGTGTTTCTGCCCCTCAGTGTTTCTACCCCTCAGTGTTTCTGCCCCTCAGTGTTTCTGCCACTCAGTGTTTCTGCCACTTAGTGTTTCTGCCCCTCAGTGTTTCTGCCGCTCAGTGTTTCTGCCGCTCAGTGTTTCTGCCCCTCAGTGTTTCTGCTGCTCAGTGTTTCTGCCCCTCAGTGTTTCTGCCCCTCAGTGTTTCTGCCCCTCAGTGTTTCTGCCGCTCAGTGTTTCTGCCCCTCAGTGTTTCTGCCACTCAGTGTTTCTGCCCCTCAGTGTTTCTGCCCCTCAGTGTTTCTGCCGCTCAGTGTTTCTGCCACTCAGTGTTTCTGCCCCTCAGTGTTTCTGCCGCTCAGTGTTTCTGCCACTCAGTGTTTCTGCCCCTCAGTGTTTCTGCCCCTCAGTGTTTCTGCCGCTCAGTGTTTCTGCCCCTCAGTGTTTCTGCCACTCAGTGTTTCTGCCACTCAGTGTTTCTGCCCCTCAGTGTTTCTACCCCTCAGTGTTTCTGCCCCTCAGTGTTTCTGCCACTCAGTGTTTCTGCCACTTAGTGTTTCTGCCCCTCAGTGTTTCTGCCGCTCAGTGTTTCTGCCGCTCAGTGTTTCTGCCCCTCAGTGTTTCTGCTGCTCAGTGTTTCTGCCCCTCAGTGTTTCTGCCCCTCAGTGTTTCTGCCCCTCAGTGTTTCTGCCGCTCAGTGTTTCTGCCCCTCAGTGTTTCTGCCACTCAGTGTTTCTGCCCCTCAGTGTTTCTGCCCCTCAGTGTTTCTGCCGCTCAGTGTTTCTGCTGCTCAGTGTTTCTGCCCCTCAGTGTTTCTGCCGCTCAGTGTTTCTGCCCCTCAGTGTTTCTGCCCCTCAGTGTTTCTGCCCCTCAGTGTTTCTGCCCCTCAGTGTTTCTGCCGCTCAGTGTTTTTGCCGCTCAGTGTTTCTGCCCCTCAGTGTTTCTGCCGCTCAGTGTTTCTGCCACTCAGTGTTTCTGCCCCTCAGTGTTTCTGCCCCTCAGTGTTTCTGCCGCTCAGTGTTTCTGCCCCTCAGTGTTTCTGCCGCTCAGTGTTTCTGCCGCTCAGTGTTTCTGCCGCTCAGTGTTTCTGCCACTCAGTGTTTCTGCCCCTCAGTGTTTCTGCCGCTCAGTGTTTCTGCCACTCAGTGTTTCTGCCCCTCAGTGTTTCTGCCCCTCAGTGTTTCTGCCGCTCAGTGTTTCTGCCAATCAGTGTTTCTGCCCCTCAGTGTTTCTGCCCCTCAGTGTTTCTGCCGCTCAGTGTTTCTGCCCCTCAGTGTTTCTGCCCCTCAGTGTTTCTGCCGCTCAGTGTTTCTGCCACTCAGTGTTTCTGCCGCTCAGTGTTTCTGCCACTCAGTGTTTCTGCCACTCAATGTTTCTGCCCCTCAGTGTTTCTGCCCCTCAGTGTTTCTGCCGCTCAGTGTTTCTGCCCCTCAGTGTTTCTGCCGCTCAGTGTTTCTGCCCCTCAGTGTTTCTGCCCCTCAGTGTTTCTGCCGCTCAGTGTTTCTGCCACTCAGTGTTTCTGCCACTCAGTGTTTCTGCCCCTCAGTGTTTCTGCCCCTCAGTGTTTCTGCCGCTCAGTGTTTCTGCCACTTAGTGTTTCTGCCCCTCAGTGTTTCTGCCCCTCAGTGTTTCTGCCCCTCAGTGTTTCTGCCGCTCAGTGTTTCTGCCCCTCAGTGTTTCTGCCCCTCAGTGTTTCTGCCACTCAGTGTTTCTGCGCCTCAGTGTTTCTGCCGCTCAGTGTTTCTGCCCCTCAGTGTTTCTGCCGCTCAGTGTTTCTGCCACTTAGTGTTTCTGCCCCTCAGTGTTTCTGCCCCTCAGTGTTTCTGCCCCTCACTGTTTCTGCCGCTGAGTGTTTCTGCCCCTCAGTGTTTCTGCCGCTCAGTGTTTCTGCCACTTAGTGTTTTTGCCACTTAGTGTTTCTGCCACTTAGTGTTTCTGCCCCTCAGTGTTTCTGCCACTCAGTGTTTCTGCCACTCAGTGTGTGTTTCTGCCACTCAGTGTGTGTTTCTGCCACTCAGTGTTTCTGGCGCTCAGTGTTTCTGCCGCTCAGTTTTTCTGCCACTTAGTGTTTCTGCCACTCAGTGTTTCTGCCGCTCAGTGTTTCTGCCAGTTAGTGTTTCTGCCCCTCAGTGTTTCTGCCACTTAGTGTTTCTGCCACTTACTGTTTCTGCCCCTCAGTGTTTCTGCCACTCAGTGTTTCTGCCCCTCAGTGTTTCTGCCACTCAGTGTTTCTGCCGCTCAGTGTTTCTTCCGCTCAGTGTTTCTGCCACTCAGTGTTTCTGCCACTTACTGTTTCTGCCCCTCAGTGTTTCTGCCACTCAGTGTTTCTGCCCCTCAGTGTTTCTTCCGCTCAGTGTTTTTGCCGCTCAGTGTTTCTTCCGCTCAGTGTTTCTGCCCCTCAGTGTTTCTGCCACTTAGTGTTTCTGCCACTTAGTATTTCTGCCCCTCAGTGTTTCTGCCACTTAGTGTTTCTGCCACTTACTGTTTCTGCCCCTCAGTGTTTCTGGCACTCAGTGTTTCTGCCCCTCAGTGTTTCTGCCCCTCAGTGTTTCTGCCGCTCAGTGTTTCTTCCGCTCAGTGTTTCTGCCACTCAGTGTTTCTGCCACTCAGTGTGTGTTTCTGCCCCTCAGTGTTTCTGCCCCTCAGTGTTTCTGCCGCTCAGTGTTTCTGCCGCTCAGTGTTTTTGCCACTTAGTGTTTCTGCCACTTAGTGTTTCTGCCCCTCAGTGTTTCTGCCACTCAGTGTTTCTGCCACTCAGTGTGTGTTTCTGCCACTCAGTGTTTCTGCCACTCAGTGTTTCTGCCACTCAGTGTATGTTTTTGCCACTCAGTGTTTCTGCCACTCAGTGTGGGTTTCTGTGTTTCTGCCACTCAGTGTGTGTTTCTGCCACTCAGTGTTTCCGCCACTTAGTGTTTCTGCCACTCAGAGTGACATCACACGCATACACACGATTGCATGGTCTCCAGCTGGTCAAAGCTGGGCATAACGTGGTTCAAGCTGGTCCAAACGGTTGATCAGTTGATGTCTACCTTGTTAGGCCGAGGTACGCCTTATCGACTTTCTTCAGTTCCAATTGGTTTCTTCAGGTAATACATTTACCTGAGTATTTTGTACTTTTTGTTTGGCGGAGGTGAACTTGGAGTTGGAGAACATCAAATAGGGATACAAGTTTAATAAAATCTTGCCTTCTTCTGGTTTACTGTAAAGATATAGATATAAGGATACCATGTGTAGTAATTAAGTGGCTCAAGCTGCTAAACATTGTGCTTCTTTTTCGCAATAGTGCCTTATAGGTCGACTTAAAATGGGCTGAACTGGTGAGAAATTGAAGAGCGAATCCCAGATGATGGTGTATGATAGTGCTAAACGCTCATTGCTGTGTCCTGAGAGAGAAAGCCTAACTGCTCAGCTTATTAACAAGACTAGATGTGACCATTTGTATTCATTATCGTGTCACACTTGAGGTGTCAGAGTCAGTCCAGCCGAGCCGAGCAACAGCCTGCTCTCCGAAACATGTATAACACTCACACCAAACACACCGTTTGCAGAGAAGGCAAGATTATGCTGTCCTCCAGATCTATCCATCTAGTGCTCTTGTGCTGTTGTTATAATCTAAAATAAAAAACGCAATGCATTCAAGCTTTAGATGCACAATATGGTTGCGTATAAAAATACATTATTCATCACGAGCCATACTCTCCTATATCACACACAGCTCTGTGTCAACGCATCTAACCGGAGAAGATCACATGTTGAACTGGATAACACAGACACTGGCAGACCATAACAAGTCAAACTCAATGAACACGCCGGTAACACTTTACAATAAGGTTCATTAGTTAACATCAGTTAACGTATTAACTAACATGAACTAACAATGAGCAATACATTTGTTACAGTATTTATTCATCTTAGATAATGTTAGTTCATAAAAATACAGCTGTTCATTGTTTGTTCCAGTTAGTTCACAGTGCATTAAGTAATGTTAACAAATACAACCTTTGATTTTAATAAGGTATTAGTAAATGTTGAAATTAAAATGAACTAAGATTAATAAATGCTGTAGAAGTATTGTTCATTCTTAGTTCATGGTAGTTAACTAATGAACCTTATTGTAAAGTGTTACCAAGACGCCAATCATACCATTTTTCTAATGGATGCAAGTGAGCGCATTTCCCCTCTAAAGGGGATGCAACTGATTTCCAATGCAATGGAACGGATCCTGTAGTCATTTCTGCGGAGAGAGCATCATATAGCGAAGCATGCATGGCTTCTTCTTCTACCCAGCAACACTATCACTGTAGAAAGTAGCAAATTTAGTTTGACCCCTGCGCTGTTGCCTGGGAGACACATCCCAGTTAATAACTCCACAAGACAGCCAACCAGCGTCAGAAGCGGGATTAAAGAGGGAAGAACTCGGATATGGGAAGGGGAATGATTTGAAAGAGCATCTCTGTATGAGATTTTATGTCAGGAAGAACTGGGATATGGGAATGATAATCATTTGAAAGAGCATCAGTGTATGTGAGTGTGTGAGTTTATGCAGGATGACTGCGTTTAGCTTGAGATGAAACGACACACACACTCAACATCCCAGTTAATAACTCCGCAAGACAGCCAACCAGCGTCAGCAGCAGGGTTAAAGAGGGAAGAACTGGGATATGGGAATGGGAATGATTTGAAAGAGCATCTCTGTATGTGAGTGTGTGAGTTTATGCAGGATGACTGTGTTTAGCTTGAGATGAAACGACACACACTCACCCTCTGTCGGTGAGGTTTTCAGCCTCTGGCACATTCCCTCGACGCCTCCATAGTCCTCCTGTATTTTGACCACCGCCTCGGTTCCTCGGAGCTCCATGAGGGTACGCAGCTCCATGAGCGAGCAGCCAAACCCCGACGCATGGTTGCTGTCGCTTCTTTGGTTCTTGGTGTAAAAATCGCTATTCGTCAAGTCCCCCATGACGGCTGAGTATTGCTTTTCTTAAAAACGGATTGAGATTGAAATGAGACGCACGGTCAGAGGAGTCCCAGCTGTGGCTGGAGAACAGGTGTCTATAAAAACAAAATGCACGAGAGAATAGAAGGTAAGAGAGAAGAAGGATGAAGAAAAAACAGATCCGCTCTGCTGTCTGCAATTGAAGATCCTCTGCGTTATGCGAACTGGGACGCAACAGCCATCGGAAAGATCCCGGTCCTGAGGACATTCACCAGGGCTGCAGACCGGCGGCTCTCCATACGTGCTTTCCCATTCTACCTGCTTCCAGTCGGATGCTGTCTACATGCTGATCCGCTCCATTACTCCTTCAGAGACCGAGAGAGAGAGAGAGAGGGGGACAGAAGGGGAGGGAGAGAGAGAGAGAGTGAGTGTTTCTCAGAGGTGTGTGCAGAACAAGCGCTAGGAAAGCATTGTGTCGTCAATCGCACACAGAGATGGGGGTGTCCATCTATTCCTGTGATTCTCCTCGTCATCACATGCGTTTGATCGCTCTCTCTCTGCTTAACACACAGCCGTGTCGATGCTAAAGGGACATTTGAGTGTTTCCGCGGCTCGTGTGATCCGAGCGAGACTGCAGTGCACATTAAAGAGAGAAACACGGGCGATGCATCCCACACTGCAGCAAGGCTCGCTGGAGGGGGTTAGCGATGGGAAACCATTATATAATTCATCCATTCTAATGCATTTGTGCTGCATAGAGCACAATCTGAATACCAGCTAACTAACGCTAATGGACTGATGCGTCCTAGAGGGCAGTTCTCACATTTAACACATTTGGTGTTTGGAAAAGCCACATATAGTGTCGCTTTTCCAGTTGCAAGCTACTGTTTCCCACTAACAAGAGTGAATCAGGACAAAACCCTTCATCACTGCATGGTGCATCATGTTATATTGTGCCAATAGCTTTACTGTAGAGCGAGCTCATATTTGCTCTTCTAAATAAATTATTTTACCCCCTCCGTCTTCTTTCTGTGAAGCAAAATGAAGTTCAGTTTCCGGTCACCCATAACTGACATGTGTTTGTGCCATATAAATGCTCTAATTGCTGAATTAAATAGTTTCATTTAATAAACTTACTGTCCCCGTTAGAAGCTTTAATGTAGTGAGCTTATTTTGGTTAGTAATAAGTACTTTTTCAAAAAAGCATCTTTTTGTACAGTTTTAGACCGCTTCAAAGCGTGTCGTTTCTAGTAAACATAGTTTATACATAGGGCTTGACATTAACTCTCCAGCCACAATTTTCACATTGATACCATAGGGAAAAATGGCCATATACTGTAGATATTTTTAATAGTATCTCATAATTTGCCAGCTATTAGGCTATTAGCTATTAGGCTGCTGTCACTTTAAGACCTAATGCACTGATCCATTATACTGTTACACATGCGTTTTCTTTCTCAACTGTTTACGAACACTTAAAACGTGACTTTATTTACATGAATACTCATCAAGACCAGCATTTTTACATTAGTTTGTGTGTATTTGACTGTTTAAGCGCAATAAGCATATACGTCCTGGATGGCAATTCTCACATTTACAGTAACACATTTGGTGTTTGGAATCACACAAAGCCCACAAATAGCTTCGCTTTTCCAAACTAAAATCAGTGTAACAAGACAAAACACGTCATCACTGCATGGTGCATCATGTTGTATTGTGCCAAGAGCTTTATTGTGGAGCGAGCTGAGGCGATGATCATATTTGCTCTTCTAAATAAATAATTTGAACTTATTTAATGAATTGAGAAGCAAATTTTTGTGCCATATAAATGCTCTAATTGCAAAATTAAATAGTTTAATTTGATACATGGAGATAAACGTATTGTCCCCTTTAGTAGCTTCAATCTAGTGAACTTCGTTTGGTTAGTACTATAGCTAAGTACTTTTTCAACAAAGCATCTTTTTGTACAGTTTAAGACCGCTTCAAAACGTGTAGTTTCCAGTAAATATAGTTTATACACAGCTATACTCTCCAGTCACTGTGGTTAGTGGCTTACTAGCCACTCAGCATTTCCACTAGCCACAATTTTGATACGGTGGGGAAAAACTGCCATATAGATATTTTTAATATTATCTCATAATTTGTCAGCAGGTTTATCAGGCTGCTGTCACTTTAAGACCTAATGCACGGATCCATTATACTGTCATACATGTGTTTTATTTCTCAACTGTTTACGAACACTTATAACTTAACGGACTATGTTTACGTCAATACACGCCATGACCAGCATTTTGACATTATTTTGTGTGTATTTGACTATTTAAGCACAATAAGCAGTGAAAAAGAACTCAATTTAGCACTGAGACACATTGATGGCCTAAGACACGAAACGAGCGGTTTGTGTGAGAAAACGAACAGTATTTATATCGTTTTTACCTCTTGTAATCACAGCCACGTCCAAGTGATCTGAGGGCGCGGGTGCTTCGGTCTGCGCAAGCGCCGGAAAGCGCCGGAAGTGATCTGGTTCAAATAAATATGGTTGTGAAAAAAATTCAACGTTGTCTGTTGATATATCGAAATCGTCTTCCATTGCGATTTCCTGTATATCTAAATATGTGTAGATCTTTACAGTGAAAGGTAACACTTCTGAAATCTCTGTGTAAACAATGAGTGACGTACATGCGCGAGAGATCACTTCCGGCGCTTTCCGGCGCTTGCGCAGACCAAAGCGCCCGCGCCCTCAGATCACTTGGACGTGGCTGTGATTACAAGAGGTAAAAACGATATAAATACTGTTCGTTTTCTCACACAAACCGCTCGTTTCGTGTCTTAGGCCATCAATGTGTACTTACATTTACGAGTCATTAAATCATGTGTAATTTGGACTTCTCTGTGCATGCTCTTTGAGGTGGTGACCATAGACCTGCATTATATGACTGACAGACAAGAACGGTTTGACCTAAAATATCAAAATTGAAACAACTGCGGAAACAACGACACCTACATCTTGGATGCCCTTGAGGTAAGCTAAAACATACCAAAAATTAATTTCAAAGTGAACTATCCCTTTAAGCAAATTCCATTTTTTTAATAGAAGTTATACAAGATTCAACTCATTTTTAAATCAGTTTAATGTAATTTAAGTTGAAATGACTTAAACATCCAAGTTGATTGCACTTAAAAATTGAAGGCAGCAACTTTTTTTGACAGCCTGACCCAACCATAATGAATCAGGAGACGTACGATTATTGACTGAATCTGAAAGACTAAACAGCTGGGACAGATAATCAATGGCATTTCTAAAGAGAAACATTTGCATATTTTCTCAGAGAACATCTTTGTTAGGAACAAAATAACATGTTGTCAAAACACTCTGTATTTCCAGGCTCCAGCTTGATGTGTTCGAGTTTGAATGGCTCATTGCATCAGTCGTGAAACAGCACGACTCCTCATTTATTAGTGAAGCCTGACCATGCTGACAAATGTGGTGGATCTGTCAGAATCAATCCTCTACAAGGACAATATGTTTCTTGGTGAAATGATGGTGGGAACGAGTGGCTCCTGTAAGGCTTGGTCCTGCCTTCAGGAATAATCAATATCCAGTCCAATCCCAACATGATGCTTAGTGTAACGCTCTCAGGGAGGAGTAATGAAGTCCTCCAGAAGTTATACAGGTTATAATAACACATGTGCATCTGACAGATCCTCTCACATCAGCACTGCGAAACTAAACGCTGGATAATATGAACAGACTATCCAACGGGACTACATGTGCAATATCTCAACAATGCATTCAGGACAATATTACTATCAGCACAAGATGCTCTCACTGTAAACGAGGCGACACAACCCTCCAGAAGTGCACCTAATTAACTTCTGATTTATGGATGTAAAGAGAAAGAGTGACGAAGACAAATGATGTGTCTGAAATGTAAACAGGCTCGGAGTAAGTCACACACAACTTCAGACCTTCAGGAAGTCCTCTAAACTTCGGTGAGAAGTTTCAAAGTTTCACTGCAGACGTCGGGAAAAACGCCAACGGACAATTAGCTTTTGTCTGTTTTATTTCCTTCATTATACAGTGCAGAGAGTCTTCCTGTGCGTGAGGATCATATTAATCCTTCTAATGACTGAACATAAACCAGCCGTTCAAACACACACACACACAAAACACATTTAAAGCTTTAAAAAGCCTGATTAACTGTTAATCAAACAACAATCTGGTTCTAGTTATGGATTTTTGAAAAGATTGATCATAACACAGTATGATTATAATATAATATAATATAATATAATATAATATAATATAATATAATATAATATAATATAATATAATATAATAAAGTCTACTTTATGGGTCATTCCTGGGATTCGGTGCCTTTTGTGTCCCCAGTAAAGATCATGATCTCACTTAAAATGTTGAACAATATCAATTTTAAACAGGTCTTGGTCATAAATAACACCATTTGAATTCTAAGCATAATAAAAATAATAATTTGAGACATTTTAACGCATTTTGAACCACCATATATCACCATTTTCCTCAACCTAAAACAGTTAGTATAAAAATAAATTGTCAAAAAATCAAAAAAGTAATATTTGTAACAGGTGTGTGAGAGATCCTTACTTTCTTTACACCATTTATACCTGTTTTTTCTCCACTCTGTTATCACTTTGTCCACCCTATTAAGCATTTTTTTATTACAATAATTTCATAAAATCTGCAAAAAACATACTAATAATTCAGTGACAAAGAAAATTTACTAGTATTTCAATAATGCAATTACTTTAAAAAGTAAATACAAACATATTTTCAGCAATTGCATCTGAAAACGAAAAATACAAAGTGATGCGTTTGTGAGAAAGTAAGTACAATTCATACACACTATTTAAATTATAAGTATATGAAACTGTTGTTCATTTGTCCTTAAGAGAACGGACATTTTTGATCTTTCATTTCATTTATTCTGTTTAATAAAGGCCTCCTTCTATCTATACACATTAGTCAGGGGAGATGGGATTATTGATTTGAATGAATTCATAATAAAATGTTTCCTGAAAGTGTCTTTGTCGAGCTGTTTCTGTAGGAGAAGTCTGAGCTTTGGGTCGCTCTCTTTGACCAGTATCTCGTTCTCAGTATCTCCTCTTTCCTAAGCCATCCTCAGATAAGTAATATAATAGTTGACATGCTAGAGCAATCCGAGGAAGTGCAGGCATTTTCATTATTAATGCCAGTCTGTAATTATTTAATGAGACGCATTTAATTGTTGTAAATGAACAGGAACATGTCATTTTTAGCTGAAATGTTCCTCTACATGTTACAGGCTTTATGCGTTGCATTATGATGTTACCTGGCACTATTTTA